ATTGTTTTCATAAAATGAACTAATTAATTAATGAATTCATTAAAATTTACAATCAATAAAGTAAATAATTAAAATAAATCTCGGTATTTTTTGAATAGATTTTATAAATAATGGAACAAAATAAAAAAATTAGAAAGATCAAATAACAACTTAAAAACAAAGGTTATTAGACTTTTAAATCTTAAATCAACATAGTCAAAAAGTTTTACTCAAAAGAAAAAGAAAATTGAATCTCTATCCATTTAAAATAATTATTATAAAAAATAAATAAGGTTACAAAAGAATAATGATGTTTCCTTCATCATTAGTTTGACTTCGCTCTTGATGAGAATAATTATAAATCTTTAGCTGCTTAGAGTAGTAGAATATATTTCTTTGCAGATTCTATATTATTTTAAAACAATCACTTACTAGATGGAAATTTTGAACTTATATTGTTTGACGCTTACTTTCTTCCATTAAAATTATATTCTTTCAATTTCCTATTAGTTTGCTTTTATTTTGTATTAAATTTATGCTTCACTCTTTATAATTCTCTTAAATGTACTTTTTCTACTTATCCGTCTATTAATTTTTTCCTTGATTCAATTTTCCTTTCAAATTTATAAATCTAGTCTAAAGTTTCTAAGGATAATTAATCAATCCTGCTTAAAAAGATATCTTTTAAATTTCCTGAGTATGTGCTTGTACTTTCTTCCCATTTAGAGACCATTTGTCCTAATTTTTGTGAAAAAATTCAAAAAGGCTTTTGAAGAATGGACAATCATTTTTTAGAATTTGAAGTCAACAATTAAACATAGATTTCTCTATTTACACTACATAAAAATTCATAGGTAAAATTATAATATAACCTCAATCTTATGGTAACAATATTTAATTAGATATGGATTATTTAGTTCAAGATTATGAATTTAAAATAAATAATTAACAGAAGAATGCTTAAAAATGTGTTTTAGATAAATACCCAAAAGAAATTGAATGGGATTGACAGTTTATGTAAAGAGGAGATGCTCTGTCAAATAAAAGATATGAAAAGACAATCAGAATCACAATAGTCTATTATTATATAATTGTCAAAATAAAAAAAAAAAGTGAACAACAATATTTATTAATTTTTGAAGTTTTTAAAATTATTATTTGTTAGACTTTAAATGAGAAATATTGGATTCGCCTTTTTTTGCTTTGAATATATAATGTAATATATAGGAGTTCATTAAAGAGACCATTAAATTTAAATTTTTTATATATGTGCTTTTACTAGTTTTTGTAGATGTAGTGTCTCCAACAGTTTCAAATGTTTGATTAATATTATTATTATGTTCATTTAAATCTTTATCTAATTTTAATTTAAATTTTATATAATTTTATTTCTCTTATTAAAGGCCTTTTAGCTTACTTTATTTAATTTTCCAGCTTTCTAATATGAATAGTCATTTTATAGTTATTTTAATATTAATATTAATCTTAATCAATATCAACTATTTCCATAATAATTTATGTCTCTTATTTCTTATCACTCAATATATTCTTTTAATGCGATTTCATTTAAATTTAATTATTGAATCAAAGTGATATTATTTTTAATTTTTAATTTCAATTTATTCAGAAGTTTCAAAATCTAAAAGTTTCTGACATTTCGATAATTGCTTTTCTGAAATTTCTCTAAAATTTTAATTTCTAATCATATGATTCTTTTAATTTTTCTGCTTTCAATCTAAATTTAGTTTTGACTTTCTTTATATTTATTTTAAAGCCACATATTTTTTAGTATCACAATGTTTTGATTCATAAACCTAGAATAATCTACTTATTTACTGTACACTTAAGTACTGTAGTTGATTTGGCAGTTTGATACTAATTATTAATATTATCTATTGATTTTTAGATATTTTTTAATCCAATATGATCTATTACATTATTTCATTTTATTTTTCTAAATTTTATGTTCTTTCTAGATTCTTTTGCATCAAAATTATCAATAAATATATGCTTTTAAATTATTTTACTAATTACATCTCTGATTATTTATTTCATTACCAATTATTGTCTATTAATAATATTGGTATTTATTTATTTTTTAATAAAAATTCTGAGTGATCTTATAATTTTTATTCAATTGGTTATTATTCTTTCAGATTTACAACTAAAGTATCTATTTTCTTTTTATTGGAAATCAGAGAGAGTATTATTTTAATTCAAATCTCCTAAATATTTTATTGGTTTATCAATTAATTTAAGTATCAATGCTAAAATAAATCAATGGTTGAATTGTATTCTTAATCATCTAATAAAGTGATGAATTTTAGCAATCAGTTGATAAAGGTAAATAGCTGATCTTGTAATTTATTTCATTATTACTTGATCTAATACATACATTCATATTTCAAAAGGACGGAATATTTGCATCTATTTAACGTTCTTTAATCAATCTTCTGCACTTTTGAATTATTTATTTGATAATTCCATCTACAATAATTTCTGAAATCATACGTGGTTGTAATAATAATACAAATAAAAATTTATCTAAATAAAAATGCATCATCCTAACTTTTTATAGATAATGATGATCATAAATGATATCTAGAATAGTTCTAGTAATTGAATCTAGTTAAAGAAATTGTTCAAGAAAAACTTATGTAATTTTATCTATTTATTATTTTGATAATATTTAAACGAATGTCCAATATTATTATCATTTTATGATTGAATTAATATATGGGGATGGTAAATTTGTGGGTAAGGAAAATTACAAATCACAAATGATTGTATTATAGAACATTAGTGTTCTAGATGAGGCTAATTATTAAGCTTGGAAGAATAAATTATTAATAAGACAATCCCTAAAGCATCCTAATATTATAGAATTATAAGGTATGCATAACAAATTATATGTACTAGAATTAATTTAATCAGC